GTAAACATAATGTTCTTCAAAAAAATAAAATAAAATAAAATATAAATAAATAAAAAGGCATTTCCTGACCCCCATAATCTCAGAATACAAGTCAAGAGAATCACTAATAGGAAACAGTTGTCACAGCGTGTGTTCTTGGCAGTTGGTAGCATTCTGTCCATCCTTAGCCCATAGCACAGAAGGCGAGAAAGGAAGGGTGATGCGGGGAAGGGAAGGGAGCAAGAGAGTGAGAGAGAGAGAAGAGAGAAATAGTGAAGCTTAAAGAAATGGGAACTGGGGCCATGAACAAAGGCTTTCACTACCTGAACTGCTGAATCAAGGGAAATAAAGGCATGGCCTGGTAGGCTGAAAAATGTACCCTCTCCCCAAGATGTCCACATCCTCATCTCTGTACCTGTGAATGCCTTAACTTTTATGGTAAAAGGGATTTTGCAAATGTGGTTAAATTAAGAACCTTGAGATGGGGAGTTTATCCAGGACTAAACAGGTAGGTCTAATATAATCACATGGGTCCTTACAAGAGGGAAGGGGTAGTCCAGATTCAGACAGAAGGCCATGTGACAATGGAAGCAGAGATTGGAATGATGCAGCCATCAGTCAAGGAGCCAAGGGATGCTGACAGCCTCTAGAAGCACCCCCACTCTCTTATTTTTGAGCTCAGGGCAGAGACTGAAAATTCTCTGAATGAGAAGAACCACCTTCAACCAGTCTTACTGAACACTGAAAGGGGGGCTTTGAAATTAGCTTTTGCGATAGACTTGATAATGTTACTTAATGAATTTAACCAAAAATTATAAGGCAAAACAGTGCTTAAATGTGAAACTTACACTGCAGTATAGTTATTTTGATGACAACTAACATTGTTCGAATCACAAGTAATATCAAGTTAATTTAATCACTTCCTGGGCTGCCAAAAGTTAAAACAAAAATCAAGATTTGCATTCCCACACAAATTTTCAGTGGATATTTTTCTCAGCTCAAATTACAGTCTCAGTGGTATTTTTTCAGACCTTGATGCAAAGCACAAAGGAAATTTCTATACTTCAGAATCAATTTAACTGTGTATAAAGAGCTTCCACCTAAACTTCAATTGGTGTGATTATTCTGCAATGTAATGACATTCTAAAAGGCAAATATCAAGAGAACAATCTAATAGAATTCTATAAATATCTTCAAAGAGATGAATATGCTCAATTAAAATCAGAGGCTTGTGGATTGATATCAGTATTTGGCAGTACTTATCTGTGTTAAAAACTATTTTAAAACATGAAATACATAAAAGTGTCATTACAGATAAGCATCAACAGATGAATATTTGCAACTTATTTTTTATTATTTAAAACATTTATTAACAAGTACTTTCGATTTGTTTACACTTTTGAAAAAATCAAGTTGTACACTTTTATTACAAATTAAAAATAAGGTTCTTAAAATCTCAATTTGACCATATATGAGACAATTTAACAACCTTTAAAAGTGTTGAGATTGCAACTGATTTTGATGATAGAGAATACTCATTTTAAACTCTATTTAAGTGAAATATTACCCCCTCCCCATGACAATTGTGGAAATTTGTTTTTCTCTCTTGTTATTTACGTACCTACATAATGTTCTCGATTTTGCCTCTTGGCCCTCAAAGCCTAAAATAGTTTCTCTCTAACCCTTTATAGAAAAAAACCCACTCCTGCACTAGATTAAGCCACATGGAGATGAGGCTATTTATAACGGACCACTGTACAACCAGTATATAGCACAGTGCCTGATACACAGCAAAAGATCAATAAATACTGAATAACATAGAATCATAGGGATGACATTAGACTAAGATTTAAAGAGCAAACACTGATTCTTTGACTTGAACTGATATTTCTTTTATACTTTATTTAACACACATTCATTTAAGGGCTTGCAGATAACCTTAAATTCCTATTGGTTAACATCTTGTGTATCTTGAACACACTACACATCTTCCAGCCAACCTGTCAATTTTTTAGTCACAAGCTCCTGCTATCTTCAGGAAGTTCTCTGTTAAAAATCCACTATTTAAAAAAAAAAAACACTGCAAAAAGAAATCCACTCTTTTGGTGTCATCACTTGGATTATTGAAGTTATCTAATGTAAACTGTCTCAATGTCCTTATACTGGAGTGTTCCAGGCTCTTGCCCTGCACAAGAAGCATTCTGGGAGAGTTTCTGGGCTGGGAAAAGAAGAATGGAACAATGAAATCATGTAATATGTGGCTGTTGATGCCTGGCTTCTTTCACTTAGCATAATGTTTTCAAGGTTCATCCACATTTTAGTGTGAATCAGTAAAAACTAGTAATGAATCAGTAAAAAGGAACTTTATTCTTTTATGGCTAAATCATGTTCTGTTGTAGGGTTATACACACTTTGTTTATTCATTCTTCAGTCAATGGACATTTGGGTTGTTTCTACTTTTTGGATACAATGCAAAATGGTAAAACTGCTTTGGGAAACACTGTTGGCGTTTCCTCAAATAGTTAAATGTGATTTCATTCATATGAAATGTCCAGGAGGACAGCAGATTAGTGGTTGCCAGAGCTGAGAAAGAGGTGGAGAGTGACTGCTAACCATATGGGATTTCTTTTTGGGGTGATAACAATGTTCTGGAATTAGTGGTGATGGTTGCACAACTTTATAAATATACTAAAAAACTACTGAATTATGTACTTTAAAAAGGTGAATTTGATGTTATGTGAATTATATCTTATCTTAAAAAAATGCCTCTATTTCATTAGGTACTCATCCTAATGAATTACTACCATTAAAATCAAAATCAAATTTAGAGGCACATCTAAAATGTGTATTATGCATATGTGTAAATCCTTTGTTATACTTGGTTTTATATATGTGTATGTATGCACTCAGTAAAGCACTCCCTGTAACTTAGGCCAAAGCAGAGTCTGGGCGGTTCTGGGCGGCCCCTGTGCATCTTAGCTCAATAGAACCGTCCGCAGCCCATGTGACAGCTGTTGACACGTGACCAGCATTGCACTTGTTGGAAAGCTTAGCTCTTTTCTGACCTTGTTCCGGTGCTGTTCTGGCTTTCCGCGTTCCGCTTTCGGGCTGCTCATCTGAATTATGCCGAAGGTAGTTTCCCGGTCAGTAGTCTGCTCCGACACCCGGGACCGGGAGGAATATGACGACGGCGAGAAGCCCCTGCACGTCTACTACTGTTTATGCGGCCAGATGGTCCTGGTGCTGGGTGAGTGGTCAGGGACTGGGCGGTGTCTACGAGTAGCGAAACTTAGGGTTCTCGAGGATGAATTTCCCTTGTCTGTGGTCTGGGAGCCGCGTCTCTTTGAAGACTGGTGGATTTTGCCTCCAAAATCCTTCCTGCACATCCCGGCCCTATCCAGCAGCTTTTCAGTTTTCTGTTTAACTTAGTAACTCTCTATTCAGACCTCCCTCTGTCAGAAAAAATAACGGTTATCTCCCTCTCTGTCCGCTTCGCATCTGGAAACGTTGTTACCTTTGCTGCTGGTTATAAGGATGCAGCAATAGTCCTTACCTTAAATGAAAATAAAACTCTTCCTTGATCCTACATTCTCCTCTAGCTGTAATTCCATTTCTTTGCTGCTTGTATAGCAAAACTTATTAAAAAGAGTTGCCTATATTGGCAGTGTCTGCGTCCTCACTTCCCACTCCCTCTTGACCTCACTTCTTGCAGGCGGTCCTTCCCTCCTCACCATATTTAGATATCACAAATACCTAAACCATATCTGGCAAGGTTAATAACTGAACATGTTACCAGTTCCAGTGGTCAGCCATCAGTGCTCATTTTAGTTCCCATTTCAGTGGCATTTGACAGAGATGCTCACTCCATCCTTCTTGAAACACTTCTTCATTTATTTGCAAGATTCCCCATACTGATTTTCCTCCTATCTTAATTTTCTCCTTCACATTGTCTGGCTCCTTTTCCTGTCTCCGAATTTTAGGCATTGCAAGGTCCTGGGAGTAAGTCCTCCCACCTACTCTCAATCAGCACTCACTCCTAAATGATCTCAACCATTCCCAAGCTTTAAATACCTTCTATATGCTGATGACTCCCAAATGTTCATCTCTAACCTGCACCTCTCCTCATACATACTTCAGCTGCTTATTGCATGTCTCTACTTGGATGTCGATCATGTTCAGACTGACTTCATGATCTCTTACTCCCACCATTCCCCTCAGTCTTCCCTATTGCAGTCAGTGGTACCACTCTTCACCCAGTATCTCAGAATCATTCTTCACTTCTATCTATGTCTTACATCCTTCCAATTTATCAACAGATTCTGCAGGTGCTTCTTTGAAAATCTATCCAGAATCTGACTCCTCCTTACCACCTCCATGTCTCTGGATGCCACAATAGTCTCTTGCTCTCCGCTCTTTGTCCCCAGTGGTCTGTTTTCCACACAGCAGCCAGAGTCCTGTTCCAAACTGGTGTTATCCTGTAATGCTGAGAATAAAACCAAAGTCCATACCAAAACCCTGCATGATCAGAGCCCCAGCTACCTCTCAGACTTCATGTACTAACACTCTCCTGTTTGTTCACTGCACTCCACAGCCGTGGTGGCCTTCTTTATTTTTTTCCCATCATGTCAAAATGTTCCTGTCTTTGGGGCCTTTGGGGTTTGTATTTCTTCTGCCTCGAACACTCTTCCCTCAGGGCTTCCTAATTTCACTCAGGTCTCTACTGAAATGTCACCTCCTTAGAAAACTCTTTTTCTGGTTACCTTATCTAAATAGCACCTTGTCACTCTGGCCTCTTAACCTGCTTGATTTTTCTTGGTATCATTTATCACTATCTGAGGTCACTTCATCCTCCTATATCCTGCCATATTTTTTAAATTAGCACCTATCATTATCCAAGATCATGTTTTATAATTAAACATTTTTTGCCTCCTCCTCTAGAATGTGAACTTCATCAGAGAAGGGAATTTGTCTGCTTTGTTGTTTGCTGGATCCCCAATGCAATGTTTGACCTGTGCCTGGTGCATAGAGGGCACTCACATATTTGCTGAATAAATGAATTCTCTTTTTATCACCTAGAGTTGGGTCTGAATTCTTGTTCTCCTTCTTATTAAACGGCAAATCTCTTACCATTTCTAACCCTCAGTTCCCTTATCTTTAAACTAGGAATATGAAATGTCTACTCTAGCAGGTTGTGAAGGGTAATTAGCCTACATGCAAACTACCTGGTGTGTCTACCTCCCTTCCTACCTCCTCTATACATCTCAAATCACTCTGATCACTTGGCTTCCCTGTGATCCTTCAGGGTACCTACTTTGCATTATATCAATTTTCTGTCTGCATTATAACTGCACCTAATCTAATTCCTGTACGTTTTCATTGTTTTTGAGTTAAAACCCTCTAACCAGGATGAGTTATTTGCATACCGTATATAGTATACCACTTACCCTCCCTCTCCTTTTCTAATCACTTACCTACTTTTCCCAATGCCTTCCTCATAGGCATTCCAGGATGCCTGATTGTCTCTTCTGATTCTAATGCATTATAACACAAACCAAGTATACCATGACTATCTATGGAAGTACTCATAGAAAACTTTAATTGCAGTGCTAGGAAGGACTTTTGAGATAATATAATCCATTCATCTTTCAAATAAGGAAAAAAAAACTGACAAGAGGAAGTGATTTGCCAAAGATCACAAGGGTAGTAACAGAGTTGGGACTAAAATCCAGGTCTCCTGACACCGAGTCACTTTTAGTTGGAGAATTCAGTAATAGGCTTCAATGAGCCCAATCATTATAGTGAAAAATGACGGTGCTAAAGGTCCCACTGAAAACTTGTGATTGCCTCTGGGTACTTTTCTATGGTTCTGATGACCATATCTTTCTCCATTTCTTCAGACTGTCAGTTAGAGAAATTGCCCATGAGGCCCCGGGATCGGTCCCGTGTGATTGATGCTGCCAAACATGCCCACAAGTTTTGTAACACAGAAGATGAGGAGACCATGTACCTTCGGAGGTAAGAGGTTGATGTTCTCTGTCTAGGATTTTTTTATTGTGTTGGGATCTCATTATGAGGAATATAAATACCTCATCTAGTGTCAAACAGGTCATGCATTTGGGCCCAATACTTTGACAATTGTGGTAGTTCTTTGTTCTCCATTTTTAGCTTTCCCTAACTTGTATATTCCTAGAAATTAGGGTAGGAAAGAAAACCAAGGTCAATTGATCCAAATACCTAGTTCATGTAAATCACTTCTTTATAATCATACCACTTAAACATCTTGTCTCATTTACATTAAAGTCTCAGTATCTTAAGAGGAACTTTTTGAGAGCAAGAACCCTGCCTTATACTTCTGGAACTCTTGGGACACCTTGCCTGATTCTTGTCGTATAGTCAGGAATAGATACATTTTTGTAAACTTGACAGAATTCCATTTGTCATTGGTATTTGAAGATTAGCTCATTGGGAGATGTGGAGCCCCCTTTATTTGATAATCCTGTGTTTTGAAATCTCAGGCTTATGAGATTCCCTGACTTCAGGATTCTAATAGTCACTTTTAGGTTCAATCTCTCCCTTCAGGCTGAGGTTTGACTTAAAGTCCCAGTAGGAACCAGATGTAGTACACAGAACCAAAAATATTGCTGGTGCCCCAGTCCAGTGATGTTAGTGAATTAGAGCACATTTGATGTAAATAAGGAGAGTGGCAGAATGTCAAAGATGGTGGAGAGCACTTTGGAATTACATGCCAAGCAACACCACTTTGTGACTTTGGGCAAGTCATCTAACCTTTCAGGGCCCCAGTTTCTTCATCTCTCAACTGGAAAAATAATGCCCATGCATTGTCACAGAGCACCTGGAAGTCCCCTGCAGTACCAGAAGGACGATAACTAGTTATAATGACTTGGAAAACACTTTAGCAATATTGAATATAGGTAAACATGCACATAATTTGGGCCTCAGCAGTTCTGCTCTTCATATGCACCCTTACAAACCCTGGCTATGTTAGAACCATCTGGAGTTCTTTAAAAAAAGTTCTAATGCCTCAGTTGTATCCTCAGAGATTAAGTATTTTTAATTTAGATACAATTCATATACCATAAAACTCACCATTTTAAAGTGTATAATTCAGTTATTTTAGTATATTCACAAGATTGTGCAACTATCACTATCTAATTCCAGAACATTTTCATCATCCCCCCTAAAACAAACCTTGTACCTCCTAACAGTCATTCCCCATTTCCTTCTCCCCTATCACAAGGAAACCACAAATTTACTTTCTGTCTCTATGGATTCGCCTAGTCAAGATATTTCATTAAAATGGAGCCATAAATAGGTAGCTTTTTGTGTCTGGTATCATTCATTTCAGGCTCATCCATGTTGAAGACTGATTCAGTACTTCATTCCTTTTGATGGCTGAGTAGTACTCCATTGTATGTATACAGCACACTTTGTTTATCCATTCATAAGTTGATGGACAGTTGGGCTCTTCCCATTTTTTTTTTACCACTATGGATAATGCTGCTGTAAACATTGTGTACGTGTGTTTGTGTGAACATGTTTTCACTTCTCATGAGGGTATACTTATGAATTGCTGGGTCATGTAGTAACTGCTTAACTTTTTGAGAACTGGTAGAGTGTTTCCAAAATTAGTTGTAGAATTCTATATTCTCACCAGTAATGTACGGGATTCCAGTTTTTCCACATCCTTGCCAATGACTATTATTGTACTTTCAGTTATAGCTATCTAGTGTGTATGAAGTTAGTGCAGTTTTTATTTTTATTTATTTATTTTTATTTTGGTATCATTAATCTACAATTACATGAGGAACATTATGTTTACTAGACGGCCCCCTTCACCAAGTCCGCCCCACATACCCCATTAGTCACTGTCCATCAGTGTAGTAAGATGCTGTAAAATCACTACTTGTCTTCTCTGTGTTGCACAGCCCTCCCTGTGCGCCCCCCAGCATTATACATGTTAATTGTAAGGCCCCCTTTCTTCTTTGCCCCCTTTCTCCCTCCCTTCCCACCCATCTTCCCCCATCCCTTTCCCTTTGGTAACTGTTAGTCCGTTCTTGGGTTCTGTGA